CCCCGCGGGGAGGAGCCTGCCTCCCGCCGCTCCCCGCCATCGCCAAACTTTCCGCTGGCTCCCGGCCGCCGCCGGCGCTGCCTCCCTGGCACATGGCACCGGCACCCCGGGGCTGAGCCCTGCCGCCACCCCCGGGGCGGGTGACGCTGCCACCGCCGACTACCGCCGCCGGCAGGAGACGGGGACCCGCTACCGCCGTCACCACCGCCATCGCCGCCGCCGCCGCCGCCCGGGAGGACGGGGCAGAGCGGAGGGTGGCAGCCGGGGGGAGCGGCGCCGGTGCCCATGTGCCTGCGGTCCCGGCGGGGCGATGAAGCGGCGATGACGATGGCGGCCGGCGAGGGGACCCTCCGGCCCTGGAAACCGGACCCGGGGCAAGCAGAAGGAGGTCGGCCGCCGCCCCCGGGGCCATCGCTGCCCTTGACCCTCACCGTCCTGGCCTGGGTGGGCACCGGCACCACCATGGCCGGCCTCAACAAATGGATCTTCGCCGCCCACGGCTTCCGCTACCCGCTGCTGCTCTCCTCCCTCCACATGCTGTCGGGGGTGGCCGTGGGCTACCCCCTGGACTGGGCACGGGGACCCTCGCCCCCGGCCCCCCGGCCCCGCGCCAGGATCTACCTGCTCAGCCTCACCTTCTGCACCAGCGTGGCCTTGGGCAACCTGGGCTTGAGCTACGTGCAGCTGGACGTGGCGCAGGCGGTGGCCACCACCACCCCGCTGATCACCCTGCTGCTGTCGGGGCTGCTGGGGGTCCGGCGGCACCACCCCCTGCAATACGCCGCCATGGGGCCCGTCTGCGCCGGGGCCGCCTGCAGCATCGCCGGTGGCCTCCGCTTCTACCAGCCCGGCTGCGGCTTCCTCCTGGCCGCCACCGTCCTCCGCGCCCTCAAGTCCATACAGCAGAGTAAGTGCCACCCGCCTGTCCCCATCCCGCGCGCCCGCCCTCCCCTGGCACAGCCCCTGGGACACAGGGGGGATGCTGTCACCCCAGTGACACCCCGGGGTCTGGTCCCCATTGCCATCCCATTGCCACCCCAACCCTCCAGGCACTCTGGTCCCCAGTGCCATCCCATTGCCACCCCAACCCTCCAGGCACTCTGGTTCCCAGTGCCATCCTGGCCCCGGTGCCAGCCCTAGGCCATCCCAGTCCTGGTGCCACCTGTTGTCACCCCTGGCCCTGGTGCCACCCCAGTGCCCCTTTAGCCCCAGTGCCACCCCAATTCCAAGGCCACCCCATTGCCACCCTGGCCCTGGTGTCACTTCCCACCGCTGCCTCTGGTGTCACCCCGCTGTCACCCCAGTGTCACCCCAGCCTCAGCACCACCCCCTCCCCACCCTGTCCTCTGTGCCACCCCAGTGTCACCTCAGTGCCCTACTTGCCTATCCTGTCCCTGATGCCACCTCAGTGCCCCCCTTGCCCACCCTGTCCCTGGTGCCACTTCAGTGTCACCTTTCTCAGCTGGCTCCCCCTCTCAGGGCTGTGCCATGGTCATGGCCTCGGGATGACCCTGGTTTGTCAGTGACCAGCAGACACCTTGGTGTCCCTGTGGTGGCCCACGGCCACCACTGGTTCCCAGTGACACGTCCCGGAGCTGTGGAGGGGGGTGGCAGAGCCTTAGTCTGGCACAGGGACACGCAGGCTGTGGGCTGCCAGGTCCCCTGTGATTCCCTGTGCCAAGTGGCATTGTCCCCATGCCTGGGGACTCAGGCAGACGTGATGCCACTCGGGCCACAGTGTCCTCGGCCGGTGGCAGAGAGGAGCCGCTCGGGGTGGCTTTTGGCCGGGAAGGGAGCGTTTCCTCTGGGGCCAGTGACTCAGAGGGGGCACCACGGGGGCTGTGGCGTGGGGCTGGTGCTTCGGGCACACGCCCCGTGCTGTCCCCAAGGTCCCCCAGGGCACCACCGGCAGCTGTACCAGGGGTGCTGTGCCCACCCGGGGGATGCCACCGCCCCTTGTCACCCCATGGGATGAGGAGGGTGGCCCTGGGGAGGCTGGGGGCTGCTCTGTCCCCCGGGACACAGCACGTGTCCCCCTGTGTCGCCTGTGCATGGCAGCCGGCCTGGCTGTGCCCGCTGTCCCCGGATGACCCCGGGGGGGTGTGATGGGACACGGGGACACAGAGGGGACAGGCCACATGCCCAGAAATGCTGCTGCCGGCTGCAAAATCCGCTGAAAAAAGAGGGTGCGGGGGGCAGAGGGGTGTGTGGAAGCCACATTTGCTCCAAAACAGGGTGGAGAAACTGCTCCCTCCAACCCTGCAGCACCCCCAAACCGGGGCTCCTCTGAACCAGGGCACCCCCAGCTCCATGGAAGAGGCTGCCCCCCCCATTTCCCCCCTTCCCAGTGACATTTGGGACTTCTTAACCCCCTGGGCACCGCGTGGGGGCTCGTGTCGGTGGGTGTCCCCATGGGGACTGCCCCGCTGTCCTGCTGACTGTCCCTCCCCCCCCCCCCCCCG